TATATATATATATATATATATATATATATAGTGTCACCCCGTCCCCCCTTTCTTTCCCAGTCTTGTTACGCCACTGTAATGAACGCCCTATACCTTGTCTAACACCACCACTAACAACAACGCGTTTGTTTTTTTCTGCTTTCAGTGCCGTTCGCGCCGTCAGAAAAGAAGATTGTCATTAAAACCGTCACCTCTGACCCCTCAAAGGTGCAAGTCACGTGCACGGCGGAGGGCTACCCCACCCCCCGTCTCGTGCTGTTAAAAGATGGTAAAAAATTTAAAGGACAGAAAAAGCCAAAGTAAGTTTTTCACTATTTCGAAGTGCCTAATGTATATGAATAAATATATGAATAAATATACACACTTATATATATATATATATATATATATATATATATATATATATATATATATATATATATATATATATATATATATATATATATATATATATATATATATATAGTTTGTATTCTCTATGGATATTTTAACATCTCTCTAGAGTCAAGGTCAAGGTGTCATTATCCAAAGTCAGCCATTCCTTCAAGGCCAGCGAGTTGACCAACAAACATCTGTACGCATGCGTGGCAGAGAACGTGCTGGGCAAGGCGAATAAGACATTCTCATTTTCAAGTAGGTCATCTAAGGTTATCTGGTCTATAGGTCGTCTAAGGTCATCTGGTCTATAGGTCATCTGAGGTCATCTGGTCTATAAGTCATCTCAGGTCATCTGGTCTATAGGTCATCTAATGACATCTGGTCTTTAGGTCATCTAAGGTCATCTGGTCTATAGCTCATCTAAGGTAATCTGTTGTATAGGTCATCTAACGACATCTGGTCTATAGGTCATCTAAGGTCATCTGGTCTCTAGGTCATCTAACGCATCTGGTCACTAGGTCATCTTACAATTTCTAGTTACCGTCGTCCTTTTGAATAATTTACCATTTCAAATAATTGTTTAATTATAAAGTAATCATCTAACTTTCACAAATTAACACACTTTTTAAAACTATTTATCGGACTCAATAATTTTTGGCATAATTAATCTTCCTGAAATAAAATAAAAACCTCATCAATCAACGCGACAGGAATCATGTTTTGCCTAATGTAGCCGTCAGTGTTTGACAGGAATCATGTTTTGCCTAATGTAGCCGTCAGTGCTTATAAATAAAAGTACAGAACACAACAGACGTTAAATTTAGAAAACCTAAAAAAGTGCTGATGTCTTTAGCTTTAATACATGGGACCATTTTATTAACGTTGACGTAATCAAAAATAAATGAAAAAAATATGTTTGTTTTTATTTGAACTTTTGACTAGATACGTAGAATAAAGTATTTGAATATAAGCGAATCAAATTAGAAATAATATATTTTTTAAAAATGTAATACATTCGCGCTTACATAACTTGCTGAGACTGCTCAAACTCTCGATAACGGTAAAAAAAAAATCATTGTCTAGTTAGTAACTTAAGTAACTATTAATTTAAACAAATATAATATTATTTAAAATAGCAACAAGAAATAAACAATTTTTTTTAATTTAAAAATTATCTGTAAGAGTCTGTTGATTGATGAAACTCTTCGTTAAGTTTCTGTTTACAACGGTTTTTAAAACTTAGTTTAAAAAGAAAAAGAAAAAAAAAAAAAGGAAAAAAAAATGTAAAACTTAGTTCCCACTATGTATTTCCAGCGCCTTCCATCAGCATCGAGAGGATCACGGAAGAGGAAGACACCGATCCGTTTGAGCTGATGTGTTCCTCCGACACCTACCCCACGCCTTATATAGCATGGCTGTTCAGGGGAAAGGTGCTAAAAGACAATAAAGGGAAGGGGTGAGTAGTTAGAACTTTGGTTGCTGTTCGAAAGTTGAGTCAGGATACTCAAAATTGGTTAGGCTGTTCAAAAGATAAGTCTGAGTACTTAAAATTTGTTAGCTGTTCGAAAGTTGAGTCAGGATACTCAAAATTGGTTAGCTGTTTGAAAGTTGAGTTAGAATACTCAAAATCAGCAGTTCAAAAGTTGAGTCAGGATGCTCAAAATTTGTCAGTTGTTCGAAAGTTGAGTCAGGATGCTCGAAAGTTCTTTGCTGGTATGAAAGTTGAGTCAAAATACTCACGAAAAAGCTGATAGCTGTTCGGTTCGAATGCTGAATCAAGCTACCACGCAGCTGTTCGAAAGTTGAATCAAACTTAAACAATAGTTGATATTATTTTATTGAGGGAAATATATATAGTCTTAACTGACATCTTGTTTTTCTGTACATGTCAGTGATCTATGTTTGTTAGGGTCTTGAGTATGTACACCTCAGGGACCTAAGTGTGTACACACGTCAGGTACCTATGTTTGTACACGTCAGGGACCTAAGTGTGTACACGACAGGGACCTAAGTGTGTACACGTCAGAGACCTATGTTTGTACACGTCAGGTATCTATGTTTGTACACGTCAGGTATCTATGTTTGTACACGACAGGGACCTAAGTGTGTACACGTCAGGGATCTATGTTTGTACACGTCAGGTATCTATGTTTGTACACGTCAGGTATCTATGTTTGTACACGTCAGGTATCTATGTGTGTACACGACAGGGACCTATGTTTGTACACGTCAGGGACCTATGTTTGTACACGTCAGGGATCTATGTTTGTACACGTCAGGGACCTATGTTTGTACACGTCAGGGATCTATGTTTGTACACGTCAGGGACCTATGTCTGTACACGTCAGGGACCTAAGTGTGTACACGTCAGGGACCTAAGTGTGTACACGTCAGTGACCTAAGTGTGTACACGTCAGGGACCTAAGTGTGTACACATCAGGGACCTAACTGTGTACACGTCAGGGACCTAACTGTGTACACATCAGGGACCTATCTTTAAAGTGCTCACCAACGTGTTTGTATGTCTGTTACCCCAGAGATCAACTACGGCCCAGCGTGACCTTGAAATACCCCAAGCCTAGCACAGCCTTCATGTTCGAGGACTTCACCTGCACAGCCAGCAATATCCTGGGTGAACAGCGACACGACATTTCTATCAGGGGTAACTGGACATTTTGTCGTTTGGGTCCATTCGGTACCAGCAGAGGTTTAGGGGGAGGGGGGGGGGGGACTTTAATTCACCCGGAACCCACTGCACTTTTAAAAAAATATCCAGAATTCGGTATAACTCAGATTAAATGAGTCCCACAACACCTGATGTTACCCACAAAACCCACTGAGCCCCACCAAACCTACTGAGTCCCACAAAACATACTGAGTCCCACAAAACATACTGAGCCCCACAACACCCACTAAAACCCACAAGGCCCCTCCCACAAACCCACCGAGCCCCTCTCCCTCTAATCCTTACAACATATAGTACCCCCACCCCTGATCACCCAGTATCGCATCATTATATTTATTATCATTGTCTCCTTTACGAAATTCCCAGATTGCTTATCTTTACATTATATAATTGCGATGATATTTTACTTGTTTCTCGCCTTCAAATATATTCCCCATTTCATTCTCTTAATTCCCCAATCTCCGCTACTCTTAATTCCCCATTTCCCTCTTAATTCCCTATTTCCCTCTTAATTCCCCATTTCCCGCTACTCTTAATTCCCCATTTCCCTCTTAATTCCCTATTTCCCTCTTAATTCCCCATTTCCCTCTTAATTCCCTATTTCCCTCTTAATTCCCCATTTCCCTCTTAATTCCCCATTTCCCTCTTAATTCCCCATTTCCCTCTTAATTCCCCATTTCCCACTTAATTCCCCATTTCCCGCTACTCTTAATTCCCCATTTCCCTCTTAATTCCCCATGTCCCTCTTAATTCCCAATTTCCCTCTTAATTCCCCATTTCCCTCTTAATTCCCCATTTCCCTCTTAATTCCCCATTTCCCTCTTAATTCCCCATTTCCCTCTTAATTCCCCATTCCCCTCTTAATTCCCCATTTCCCTTTTAATTCCCCATTTCCCTCTTAATTCCCTATGTCCCTCTTAATTCCCCTTTTCCCTCTTAATTCCCCATTTCCCGCTACTATTAATTCCCAATTTCCCTCTTAATTCCCCATTTCCCTCTTAATTCCCCATTTCCCTCTTAATTCCCCATTTCCCTTTTAATTCTCTATTTCCCTCTTAATTCCCCATTTCCCTCTTAATTCCCCATTTCCCTCTTAATTCCCTATTTCCCTCTTAATTCAGCATTTCCCTCTTAATTCCCCATTTCCCTCTTAATTCCCTATTTCCCTCTTAATTCACCATTTCCCTCTTAATTCCCCATTTCCCCCTACTCTTAATTCCCCATTTCCCGCTACACTTAATTCCACCTTGGTTTTCTCCTCTCACAGAGATGCCGCCAGTTATTAAGATAGAGATTCGGTCTATACCTGGAGAGGCTGAGCACATCGAGGTAGAATGTAGTACAAATGTTTTCCCTATACCCACACTAACCTGGATCAAAGATGGACAAGTATTAAAAACGAATAATGGAAAGAGGTTAGTGATTGGTGGAAAAAATCACGTGATCATGGGTGGACGTGGTCATGTGATCTAAAATAAGTCATCAGTATTTTTTAAATGTCTTTTAAATTTTTTTAATGTAAGTTTTTTTTTCTTTGCCTACATTAATGTGTTGTGTGTTGTGTATGTGTTGTATGTTATGTGTTATGTGTTGTGTGTTGTGTTGTGTGTTGTGGATGTGTGTTATGCGTTGTGTGTTATGTGTTGTGTGTTGTTACAATTGACCTTTATGATTACACATCGAACCTGTTGTGTTTCAGCTTGACGTTAAGGTACATATCACATATAAATCGTCAAGAAAACTACACCCTCTCATGTGAAGCCACCACTAAACACGGCAAGACAGCCAAAAGCATATCTGTTGAAGGTAATTATTTACTTGCATCTTGTAGGACTTGTTTTTTAGTTAGCAATAAAAAGTTTCTCTTTACTAGCAGGAAAAGTTTCTCTTTACTAGCAGGAAAATGTCTCTTTACTAGCAGGAAAAGTTTCTCTTTACTAGCAGGAAAAGTTTCTCTTTACTAGCAGGAAAAGTTTCTCTTTACTAGCAGGATCTAATGTTGATGTTGGTTATTGAGTCTTCCAGTAGTAGACACAACATACCTGACCTAATAGGGCTGGTAAGTAGGTCACCAACCAGTTCTACGGCTCAATAAAACCTGCATGAGCCATAGAACTGGTTGGTGACCTACTTACCAGCCCTATTCCCCTCATGCTTTAAAGCTTACCCTGACCTTAATTTTTGTAAACTGACAAATTTGGTCATTTTTTTTTCCAAATTTAATTTGTTATCACTTAAGTTCCCTTTTTGAACCTAATAACCCATGGGGGGAGAAGAGATAGAAAGCTGTACTGCTAGCACAAAGGTTCGAGTTCGAATCCGGGTTCAATTCAGTAGAATGTCCCTGAGTCCACCCAGCTCCAATAGGTACATAACATTAGGGAAAGTAAAGTCGGCTGGGAAAACTTCAAATATCCAAGGCCATAGAAACAGGTGAACTCTACTTCACTTGCCCCAGGTTCAAAAAGAAAACTTTACTTTCACACACGTTATTGATGGAATATTTTTTAACTTTTGAAACTTCCTGACTTGCAGCGAAACCAGCCAAGATATCCAAAATATCACGAGTCGGGTCAGTCAATGTGAACCGGGAGTTTGAGCTGACATGTCACGTGGAAGGTTTCCCTGAGCCTGTCGTTCAATGGAAGCACAATGGACAAATAGTGAACCACAAGTTAAAAAAAACAACGTAAGTAGATACAAATCACATGTTAACACTATTTTATATAGCATATATATATATATATATATATATATATATATATATATATATATATATATATATATATATATAGAGAGAGAGAGAGAGGAGAGAGAGAGAGAGAGAGAGAGAGAGAGAGAGAGAGAGAGAGGGAGAATGGGGGGGGGGGGGGGAGAGATATACATAGAAGAATACCACACCTACGACCTCCACCATCTCCATCCATCCACATCGACATTTTACTACACTCACACATACACGTATATATAAAAAGGAGATAATAAGAGAGCATGAGAGAAGATGTATATATTGTTAGACAGATATACATACTCATGTTTTATACCCATAGAAAATGCTCCAAACGAAAGCTCTCAAGGAAAGAAAATACCTAGGACAAAATCTCTCAAAACTTAACAATAACATAGACTCGCATACAAATTCCACCACTAGGTTCCCATAGTAAGCATGTCACACTTTGATGTCATGACCACTGATTTTAGAAACATCTGTGTTCCAGGAGCACCCTGACAATCGCACAAATTATCAGGGAGAGAGGGACGTACACCTACGTCTGTGAGGCTTTTAACCCGTTCGGCAACTCTTCCAAAAAAATCACAATTGAAGGTAAATAAATTTTTTAGACTTGACTGTCGGGCTTGTAGGTCCCTGCTATGTCCCTGATATGTCCCTACTATGTCCCTGCTATATCCCTGATATGTCCCTACTATGTCCCTGCTATATCCCTGATATGTCCCTACTATGTCCCTGCTATGCCCCTGCTATGCCCCTGCTAAGTCCCTGCTATGCCCCTGCTAAGTCCCTGCTATGCCCCTGCTATGTCCCTGCTATGCCCCTGCTATGCCCCTGCTATGCCCCTGCTATGTCCCTGCTATGTCCCTGCTATGTCCACCCAGCTCTGAATGTTACTAGATACCTGTGTCTCTTCTTCCCAACTAAAGTTTAACTATGTTAGAAAGAGCTTCCAATAGCGGTTTAAAGAAAGTTTAACCATATAAAAAGGAGCTTCGAATAGCTGTTTTACCAAGGTTTAACTATATAAAAAGGAGCTTCAAATTTTTTTTTATCGAACTGGGTAGCACCTCCCTCATCCCGCCCTTCCATTCCTTTGATCACGTGATCACTAATTACTCCAATCAAGGTTGTTTTTTTTTTAAAGTAACGGTCGGTGTGTGAAGGTTGGACAAATTGGCATGACGGTTCCGATACTTCGTATACTAACACCTCCCGCCCCCCCCCCCCCAATTTATGTCTATCTATTCCACTAGTTTTTTTTTCAACAAAACAATCTAAATTTTTTTGGTATAATTTAACAAGCCCTTCGTATTAATAAAAAAAACTAAAAAATAAAGTCGTTTTTCTTTAGATATCGGTGCCGTTGTTTTACTGACTCTGGATGCTGTACTAAGGTACGATTACTCTAAAAAGTGTCGTGCTTTATGGAAAAGGTTGATAGGGGTGGGGGTGAAAGGGGGGGGGGGGTAAGGGTTTAGGGTGGTGGCTAGAGGGGTTTATGCATGCACAGTGACGTCATCGCTGACATATGCGTGCACGGTTTTTTAAACAAGGTCAAGACCTGGTCATCTCATGTGTTTACGTCAATTAATTACGTCATTTTTTTAAATCATTAATTTAGTTCACAAAAAATTGTTTGCGTAAAGCCGAACAATATTTTTTTAAATATCCAAAAATATTGCTCTTAAGATGGTCTTCTTGACTGGGGTATGTTAAGGGATGGAGGGGGGGGGGGGGGGGGGGGTCGAAATGTTAATTTTAAATCTCAGCCCTTCTTCATATCCTTTTATTTTTCTAAGCCCATTTTATCGAATACACTTGACAAAGTCATGGTGCCTGCAAGTCCAGCTCTAATGAGTACCCGGCATAAGTCTAGGCTCATCGTTTGTTGTAGCGGCAGATGTTTGTGTGTGGAAGTGAGTCAGCGTTTGTTTATTTGTTTACTGCGTGAGCACGAGATGACCCACTCATGTTGTAAGAGTGCATTAACCCTACTCTAATTAGTGACGTCATTAGACCAAACGACAAGGCTACTAATTTTTTTAATTTTTTTAAATTTAACTTTGGAGGTTACTAAGTACACTAAGCCATCCCGCCCCCTTACTTGTCAGTTCTTTGAACAGTATTTTGGGGTGGGGGAGGGGATTAATCGTATTTATTTTATTAACCCTGTCGAGGAAACGAAGGTATCCCTAAAAATAGCAAACTGCTACCACCGTTGTTTTGATTATAAATGACGAGTTGTCTTTTCCTGTTCACGGGAGGTTCCCACCCCCTCCCCACCTTCCCGTTCCCTCCTCTCCTAAGTTCTCTCCCCCCCCCCCCCTCACCTCACCGGGTTAGGTCCGGCATTAAAGATGCCGCTACTCTACGGAACTTGACCCCCACGTTGTGCAGCCTGCGTGAGTGTACACCTACGTTCTAATCATCTTGAAGGGGAGGGGGGGGGGAGATAGCTAATGGGGCGGGGAGGGAGCTAATGGGGCGGGAGAGATCTACACAAACCCACCCACCCCCCACCCTCACACACCCCCACACACACTAACCTGTAACCTAACGCATTCTCCTCTTGTACCATTCAGCAGATCGCATTAAAAAAAAAAAGTTCCGCTGATAAGGAAGGATTGCGGTGTTGTTAGATCTAGTACATCGGGCGGTAGAAATACAAAATTTTTGTCCCGTCAGCATTTAATATGATCGGCCATTTTTTTGCCAGATTTTTTGTATTAAATCCGTCAACAGCGCGCAGGGAAAAAGCTGAAACACTAAATAGTTTGTTATGATAAATAAAGTTGCGGGCTCATCTGCAATTTATTGGTGGATGGTGTGTTGTGATTTTCTTGGATCGCGTGTTGTTATGTTTAAGATAAAAAAAAAGTCATTGTTAGGTTTACTAAAAATAAGATTGGTGAAATGCCACAAATGCTGACTGACTCTGGAGACTTTAGCTTAAACCAGTCCAACTACGGCAGTAATGGTGACTCTTGGCTGACTCCTATAGCGACTCCTTGTTTGCACAAACTCAAGTCTGACTCAACTCCAGCTGGTCCCGAAGTGTGACTCTCGAACGATTACTGATTAGTGACTCCTTGCTGACTCCAGCGGACTTGTTATTCCTCACGGTTCAACTAGACCCTGACTATTATCCTGAGCCTCCAGCACTTACCCGAACTGTTTCAGGCATTACCTGAGTTCACACAGCTCTAATGTGTACCTGACTCTTGGTAGGGAGAGTAAGAGTAGCTAGCCGAGGTCATAAAAACAAATTAACTCTACTTCACCTCACCCTAGTGACCGTCAGGCCCGGAAGGATATTTTTACAATAGTTGGTTACCCTGAAAACTTCAAACTTCCATTCTAATTATTTAAAAAAAGAAACTTTTTTTTTTAAAATTAAGCGCCTTTGTTTTAAAATTTTGTTTTTAAAAATTCGTTAATGATTCCTACATTTTTAACTCCCCCTCCCCCCCCCCCCCATAATTCAGTCAAAATAGTCTAGACCGCTGCAGACGCCAAGTTGTACTTAAAAGTAGCTTCGACCCCGACCTTGACCTTTCTTTGTCGCCGTTGACCTACTATCACCGTTACCTTCCTTTCGTTGTATTTTTCGCGAAACAAAAAAAAAAAAAAAAAATCCGAAAAGATCGCATTTCAGCGTAAAATAAATGTTTTCATTTATTTGTTGTCCTTTCGCTGTCTGTATAAGTGTTCTATTTCGAGGTCAACTAGGTACATTCGACTGTGGAAGACTCCCGGCAATACGAACCTGCCGCTTCTCCCCTAATCCCAATGTTGTTTCTTTCTTTTGAGTTTATTTTTGCGGGAGTTTCCGAAAATCCTGCCGTCGGATGAGGGTTGGGTTTAGGAGGGTTTATGAGAGAGGGGGTTTTCCCGGCTGTACAGAATAACCTCATTCATTAGGCCAACAAACACTTCTGGTGAATGTACGCACTTTGCAACACAAGTACTCGCTAAGTTGGTAAAAAAATTATTAAGAGTAGTGTCCCTTACAACTCTCTAGGTCTTTCATCCACTCACACAAGACGCACCAAAAGAAAAATTAATAACGGTCGTATGGAAATATTTTAATAAGCGATTGGGCTAACAAAGTGCCTTATATCGGGGCTAACTACTACCCTAAATAAAGGATAGGATGTTCATCCCTATATAAGGGCTAACATTATGCCTTATCTCGGGGCTAACTACTACAGTACATAAAGGGCTAATATATGCCTTTATCTCGGGGTTAATTAATATCTTACATAAGAGCTAGCATGCTCTAACCTACTTAAGGGCTACAATTATGCCTTATCTCGGGGCTAACTACTATCCTACATAAAGGGCTAATATGTGCCTTATCTTGGGGCTAATTACTATCCTAAATAAGGGCTAACAAAGTGCCATTTGCGATGCAAACTCCCTCACCCCTTCCTTCCGCGTAAGTCTCACGTCTGCATACGTATTAACATCATTAACAAATGTTTATTTACTCACACCAGGGATTTCCATCTGAAGTAGGTCAAGATTCGAACCCCCACCACCCGCCTCCCACTCCTCCACGATACACTCGCTACAAAGGACACCCCCTCACACCCCCTCACACACACACACACACTCGAACATTGTTTAGACCTCTCACACACTTGACATACAAACTTACTCAACTGGGGACTCTTGACCCCCTCCCCCTTAAATAAAATATCCAACAACCCCATTATTCACCCGCCAACTCTCACTTCACCATAATTCTAAAATAAATCAACATTTTTTTTAAAATCAAAAGTATTCTCTTAAATATAAATTCTGTCAGCAAATCGTGTATATCCATCTATATACTACTAAAAGTCAAGTTTGTTTACATGTTTGAATATTTATTTGTTTGTTTGCCTGATCGAAAATTGTGATATGTTCGACTCTATCTGGAAAGCTGTAAAATGGTATGCAGGTAGAGAATAATTTTTTAATGCAGACAGACTGTTGATCACAAATTTATTTAAAGACGTTAATTAATTTATTGATTTATTCCTACGCAGAATAACCCATTTTTTTTAAAAATATTTGAAAAGCCACTAGACTCGGCGGGACCGTGACGTCACAGGTTTTTGTTTACTCTTTAGTACAATAAAATGGCGGCGTCTATTGAAGAAAATTGTGTTCCCATTCAAAAGTTTAACGCGTTCTAAATCTAATTTTCTGTCGGTCATAACTTTAACAATACGTCCGTTTGCTGTATTTATTACGTTCCAACACTTATATCAATTTTCAACTGTCTTTTTCATTTAGTTTTACGATAAATTTCTCTAGATCTAAAGATCAGCTATCGAAGGAAATTTATGAATCTAGCCTAGATCTAGATCTAGATCTAGCCTAGATGTAGGTCACTAGATTCAATGTAAATTCTACATCTAGAATCTATTTCAGGCCTTAATTATTTTATATAAATCTTTGTTTGGCTTATTTAAGATAAAATTTAATTTGAAAGTTAGTACTACTAGACTTATTTTTAGATCTAGATCTAGAATCTATACGCGTAAATCAAGTTGCATAAGGAGACACATAGTATAGTATAAAAATTCACTTGTGACGTCACGAGTAAATAGCTAAAATGGTAGCGTAGTCAGCTCTCATGCAGGAGGCACGGGTTCTAGACCAATATGTCAATGAAATTTTTTTTTTCAATTTTTTTTTTAGATGTGAATGATAACGTTGCCTATCTGAACTTGGCAAGATACAGGGCAGGTGAAGTAGAGTTCATCTGTTTCTTTGTCCTAAGCATATGAAAGGATAGTGTGGTCAGATACATGCTCGGCTGGAATTGTTTTTTAAACGATAAAAACATGTTGTCTGAGACTTGGCAGGACACTGGGCAGGTGAAGTAGAGTTGAGTAGGTCACCTGTGACGTCAGTTTATGAAGGGATAGTCCGAAATCGGTGTTTTCGGTGTTTTTAAAAGATAAAAAAACATATATTTGAATGTGGGGTCTGTTTTTTGTGACGATAAGTGACACTGCAGTAGCGTACCGAGGAGGGGGGGGGCGGTAGGGGAGGGGAGGCGGGGGGGTGGGGAGGGGAGGGGAGGCGGGGGGTGGGGAGGGGAGGCGGGGGGGGGGGGAAGGGGGGGGGAGGTGGAGGGGGGGAAGGGGGGGGGGGACATATGTTGGGGCGCCAAAATGGTTTGGAAAAATAAATTGATAGGTTGAGGGGGGTTCAAATCGAAAGTTTGAGTGGGGGGGGGGGTGCACATCAAAAGTTTGAGGGGGGGGGGGGGGGGGGGGTTCAAATCGAAAACTTTGTCCCCGGGCGCCGGGAAGGGTCGCTATGCCTCTGAGTGACAGACGTGATGTTTTTTGATGGATGACCCCCGAAACCCACAGTTATCCAACGGATGACGGGTATTCTAGTAGGTATTTAAAAACGTAAAAAAAAATAAATAAAATAAAATAAAATAAATAAATGGACAATGTTTAAATCTGAATGATATCCTTCGGTTTCCCTTCCTTTCCCTACCCATTGTCCCTCTTCTTAGCTTGCCGTGTTCAGTTTGGCAGCCAATTATTATACAGAACGAGCCGACCCGCAGCGTATCATACGCCGCTATTTAGTTGTTTTATTTTCTACTTTTCAGTAATTCATAATTTGTGAATTCGACAGTACCAATGCTGCCACTGAAAATATTTGCTTTAAAACACTAACCCCCCCCCCCCCTTTCCCCTAACCCCGACCCTACACCCCCCCCCCCCCCCCCCCCCCCGTGAAAGCAGCCTCCTCTTAGTTATTTCTTAGTTACCTCCTGTAAGTTTAAAATCGAACTAAATTATCTGCCCCTAATAGAAACCCGGCTCCACGGCTCTACGATTTGTAAACATTTAGCTTTGTAAACATTTAGCGTGACCACAGCTCACCAGACAATGTGGGGGTGGGGTGGGGTTGGTAGTGATAGTGATAGAGAGAAAGAGAGGGGACTGCAAGGAGGCGCTTGCAGCTTGTTTTCTAACGGCTCCCAGAAGAGAATTATATATATAGATATTCTACGTTGTTTCTTGAACCCCTAGAACCCCTCTCCCGTAGCACACCAATTCCAATTTCTGAACCCCCACTCCCCTTCCCGTCCTCTGGCACTATAGACGTTTTTTTTTTTTTTTTTTTTTTTTTGGCAACCTTCAATAAAATTCCAATTTTTTATGCACTTATCATCAAACCCTGATTATATATAAAAAAAAAAAAAAAAATTAACGGCAAAGGTTAAAAGAAAAACTTCAACTTCCGTCCCAAAAATGTTTGACCAATTAAAATGTTATATCGATCGTTCTAATAACATTAATGTTTGACCAATTAAAATGTTATATTGTTCCAATAACAATAATGTTTGACCAATTAAAATGTTATATTGTTCCAAAAACAATAATGTTTGACCTATTAAAATGTTATATTGTTCCAATAACAATAATGTTTGACCACATACCTTTCCTTTCAGTCCCTGTGTGTGAAAACAAAACCAATGGATACTGTTTGAATGGTGGTGTGTGCGAAATCACAGCCGGCATTGAACATTGCGTGTAAGTTTATTTTTGTTCTTTGTTACAACATGCAACAGATTCTGTTTGAATTCCACCACTGTTCACCATTCATATTTTTTTTTCAGCTGATTAATGTAATAATTTAAAAGAATGTTACTTGACTTTTATGAAAATATATTTTTTTAAACTGATATTTATGAAACGGATTTTTAATTAAAGCACATAATTAAATTTAGTGGCATATGCAAGGGGTGTATCGATTTTAGGTTGTCGAGTCAATTCCTCATAGATCCCCAAAATTAACATTGTTAAACGTAATAATGCATGCATAAATACATACATAAAACATATATATATATATATATATATATATATATATATATATATATATATATATATATATATATATATATATATATATATATATATATATATATATACGCCACTTATGTAATTACATTTGTTGATTTCTGCTGCTACTAAACCCTAGGTTATGCTGACGAGGCTGTTCTTTATCAATTACATGTGTTCAATCGATCCCCTACCTAGCCAATGTGTGTAATTCAATTATTACAGCCAATGTGTGTAATTCAATTATTTTAGCCAATGTGTGTCATTCAATTATTTCAGTCAATGTGTGTCATTCAATTAATTCAGTCAATGTGTGTCATTCAATTATTTCAGCCAATGTGTGTCATTCAATTATTTCAGTCAATGTCTGTAATTCAATTCTTCCAGTCGATGTGTGTCATTCAATTCTTTTAGCCAATGTAATTCAATTCTTTCAGTCAATGTGTCTAATTCAATTCTTCCATTCAATGTGTGTCATTCAATTATTTCAGTCAATGTGTGTCATTCAATTATTTCATTCGATGTGTGTCATTCAATTATTTTAGCCAATGTCTGTCATTCAATTATTTCAGCCAATGTGTGTCATTCAATTATTTCAGTCAATGTCTGTAATTCAATTCTTCCAGTCGATGTGTGTCATTCAATTCTTTTAGCCAATGTAATTCAATTCTTTCAGTCAATGTGTCTAATTCAATTCTTCCATTCAATGTGTGTCATTCAGTTCTTCCATTCAATGTGTGTCATTCAATTCTAAATTTCAGCCAATGTGTGTCATTCAATTCTTCCAGCCAATGTGTGTCATTCAGTTCTAAATTTCAGCTCACGTCAAGACCTCACCCCAGCCTCTATGCCCACCTGTCTCTGTCTCTGTGTCAATGTCAATGTCTATTGTATCGATGTGGTTACCCACAATTCACTCCATGTTCCTACCATTTGTCTAGGTGTGCGGGTGGTTTTGTTGGTGAGCGCTGTGAAAGCACTACCGCGAACGTAGAAATCGGTAAACAAACATGAATGAACTTCAGATTGAAACTATCATCTGCATGCCTACCCAATTTAAAAAAAAAATTAACTAACCTTTTTTTATTATTTTGGCCAGCAATATTTTTAAAAAATGCGTTAAAGACCTATACAATAACACACACACAAACAACCCGCACATAAATGTACCATCATACACTACCACACACATTCTCACCCACACGTAAATTGTATGTTATTTTATTGAGCATTTTGAATGCATCACATGGAGCGACGTAATGGCTGAACTGATCAACCACAGACTGTACTAAACCTAAATATTAACTATCCATGAGGTTATTGCGCTACAGAACTTAATCAATGTTGCATTAATTAACACTGCACATTTCTACTTTGTTGTCCTAAATTTCTATACAAAATGTATAAATATAAGTGTGGTGTAAATATACACTAAAACACACACACACACATATACACGGCTAAGTGCATATGAATTTTTGAAACCTCCATCCATCCCTCTTTTTCCTCGCCCACATATTCCATTTCATCAACGTCAACAACGAAATAGTGTGGACCGCGACCATCTAAATGCCAATATATGGTCGAATATATCGCAGATAGGAATGTGCATCTTACTTAATCCAGCATTTTGGCTCTCCATATTTAACCTCCAAAAAAAATGGCATAAAATACCATAGAAGTCAAAGCAAAACGTTAAATAAATACTAAAACCGCAATTAAAAACTGTTCTTTCTAGCGTTGGAATGTTGAAAAGAGATGCTCAAGGAGGAGTTAAGCGCCACCCCCCTCCCCCACACCCCATTCCTCCCCCTCCCCACCCCCATGGACCCAAAAATGAATGTTATGTCACGTGATGGTTACAGCTATAGAATAAACCTGACTTTGACCTGAAGAGTGCAGGGCTTAAGACTGCAAGAGCAACTCTAAAAGCAACAATATAATCTTTAAAAAAATAAAACATGATCATTTTATTTTCATGAAAATTCTGAGGTTCTAGACTCAAATTACACTTATTGGATAAAAAATATCACCAAATATTTATCAAGACAAAAAGTCTATTAGTAGAATCATATTATTATAATCGGAAAGCATCGCTAAATTACAAACAGACATATTTTAGTTTGTAGATGTAATCACAAGTAATTTTTATTTTCATTGGCTTAAGAAAACAACCAGCCTTCACATTTCATTCCGCCATTTTAACTTCCATTCAACATATGTGTGTGCTGAGCCTACTTTCAACAGATTGCCAGACGACGCCAAGAGAACACAACTCTCATTTATTTTTAAATATTTTTTATAAAATTATCTTCTCATTGTGGATGTATCTGTACCCCATGAGTTGTTGTTCCTTTTGATTTTTTTGACTAATGGGGGGTGGTTATGTGTCACAGGTGCCCCATCTCGTATAGGGGAGAGAGGTGTGACGAACAAATCACAGACTACATCACTGGTAAATGGGTTGGCATTCGCATGGTTGTCTTAGGGTGACGCTAGTTGCTTGCCTGTTGTTACTTCCCTTTAGAGTAACTTTTTAAAAAGATATTTTCTTCATTAGTGTCAGACAATGAACTCTTCTTTTTTTTAAAAATAATTAGAAGTGCTAGACTAATAATATAATATCGTTTTAGGGTTGGGTTAAGATCTATTCCTGGGATAAATTTGGTATTAGCGTGTAGGCCTAGTATAAAGACTTACACATTTTCAAGAAGACATAAATATTTGAGGAGAAAAAACAATTTTTGATGTTGTTTTTTTTTTCTTTTTTTTTTTTTTTTTTTTGATTAAAGAGTCCGGTAATGGACTCTTCCAATAAATATGGATGTTGTTCTTGTAAGACTAGGGATATTAGTTAGAACTGTTTTTTTTTGGAAGAGTCTAATGTCAAACACTGATGCAACAAAAATCACCAGTGGTTTTTTCTTCCGATGTTTAGTTTAATAATAAAACAACAAATTTCACCACATTCAGGCTGAACCAAGTTGTATAACCCTGTCGGTGTCAAATTTAGAGTGTTATCCCCCTTTAAAACTCTAACTCCCTACAACCTGCATACAACTCTATGTTGTACATTGTGCTACTAATTTTGTTACAAGTGTGTGTTGTTGTACCTGTGTTACTGAGGTAACTAAACACCTGGGAAACGCATGAGGGGACATGTCTAGCCTTTATTCAAAGGGCGGGTTTAAACTATCAGATTTACCCCGACCCCCAAAACCCCTATTAGACCCCTAACTCCTCTACTAGGGTCATACAAATATAAAGGTTTCACTGTTACTGCAATACTAAACCAAGCTTCAAAAAAGTTTTATTTTTTTAAATTAGTAAGTCAAATAAAAATGAAGGAATACAGGGAAAAAAATGGTCTAGTGTATAGGCCTTTATCAAATAAAACATTCTATGTAAATCAATTCTTACTCTAATTAAATATAATTTTAATTGATCAAGAAAATTTGAATATTTTGTATTTTTTTACATAATAAAATTAGGGGGACATTACGAAAAAAGAAACCTACTTTTAACACTTAACCTAAATTTTAACAATGTGTACAAAATTGAAGTCCCCTTGACACCTAGATTCCACCCGGTACATAGTTTGACCAGGCCCAAATGCTCTGTAAAAAGTTCTCTCTAACGACCGAAAGGAAACAACAGCAGGCAACAACGTCAGCCCCAACCTGCGGGACTTGTCGTGTGGTTTCAACTTTGAAAAGCTCACAAAATTTAATCTCGTTTGTAAATAGACAATAATCTGCTTCTCTGAGATTTCTTTCTAAACCAAGCCATGTGATGTATTCAAGTTGCGCTTTGTTCCGCTAACTTCAATAACTAAAATTTTAACTGATTAAAAAATGTATATTTATATACCACTAAACAAGAATTCGCTTTTTCTTGTAATAGCAAACTGTATAATTTTTATTTTTACAAACACACCCAATCAGAAAAAAATTACACTTTAATAATCACCCAATTATACATTCTTTTTTTTTACTTACACCCAATTATACAGTCGTTTTTTTTTTTTTTTGTATTTTTTTTTTTAAATTATACCTTTGATCCTGCTGTTTTTGCTTTATTAACACAGATGCTAACACAACTAACACCAGCCATAGGGCTTGTAAGTCTACGGTCTCGAAATCTACTGGCTGGCAAGTACGAGAACGAGAAGTTGTGACCTACTTACAAGCCCTATTGCTGTAGCCCGACGCTGCTTTTTAATTTATACTCTGGTTTTATTTATTTAGAAAGCTCAAGAGGCTGATGTCGGTCTATTAGACGTGTGCTGCTATTGCGTTTTTTTGTTGTTTGTGTTTTAGAGGTGTCTAATTATAACATCTACTATGGTGTGTGTTTTTGTGCTGTGTGTTTTGAAAACGTTGATCTAATATTTTACCTCAGAATTTCAAGATTGGATTTGGAATTGCATCCCAATTTTGCTTGGCTGACTTCTGTCATTTCGAAATGTTCGATTACTTTCTTTTTTTTTTTGTCGGTGTACTTTTCGAGTACTCTTCACTTCTTAATTTACAGCAAGTCTAATCTATATCTAGTTGTGGTTTCATTTTCAGGGTTAATTTTAACCCTCCCCCACCCCCACAATCTGCCCCACCCCTCTCCTCCCTCACCTGTTCCAGCCAATCTAGCAATCGTCTGCTTTACTCTAACAATGCAGGTGCGCGGTCGGCTATGCAGGTCCAAGGTGTGAAGCCACTGACGTACGTCTCTCACCCGAAGTCTCTTACAATCGTATGTACTGCTACGTACTCCCCCTTCCCCCTCCTCCCCTTACCAAATGTGCACGGCTGAACCTCACCAGTATAAAATCTAAACGTCTTAAAACACTACTGCCTAAAAGAATGGAAATAATTTCGCATTATTCTTTATAATTATCTCTATTACCACAGTTTCTTTTCTTCTTTAATGATGAAAAGTTTCACCTAAAGCAAATCAATAACAAGCACTTCTGTCAAATTTTGTTTTGTTCGATAAAAACTATCTACTTTTTTTATTATAAAGACACATATTGATTAAAATGTTTGGCTTTTATTTCTATAATCAATCACGTATGTACTCTCTAACTACCACAAACAATTATTTAATACCCTAATGCGCACACGAACAAAATGTATAGCCTTGCACTTTTTTTCTTGTTTTTAATAATGTGATAATCAAATTTATTAGAAATTTCGTGTTAAAATAATTTGTTTGAAAAAAATGAAAAAAAAAACATAATTAATTAGATAGAAAAACAATAGGTCAGAATTTTTTTTTTAATATTTTTTTAAATTGTTGCTAAATTTAGAAGTCGTACAATATCTGTGGTTGTCCAGACATTATACTTGTTACTGTGTTCGTCTTGTGGTGATTGTATGACACGGCAGCAAAAAGAAATGTAAACATTCTAGATTGTCAGTATTCGGTTAGAGACAAGTTTATTTATCCTAGTGCTCAGGGTTTCCGATCTATTAAACCAGGCTTAATGTGTTACCTACGACATTCTTTTTTTTAAAATCTTAAACTACGTTCTTAATCATTGTCTTTATAGAAATTTGATTATCACATACACTTTTGTTACTATTAATGAACACAACAGAGTTTAGCTCAAGCTAGTTTGCTACTTAATTAATTCTTATCAAATATACTTCTCGAAATATGAAAGTAAAATGTTTATTTAATTATTACCAGTACTTTTAATTTTTTTTTTTTTTTTTTTTTTTTTTTAGTAATCAAGTTAAAAATTCATATAGAAACCTATTTATTTCTCGATTTTAAGCTGATTTTATATTTAAAATGTGTTAGTCATTTACTAAAAAAAAAATAAAAAAATAAACCATTGATTGTGCATTTTGCTAGCATGCCATGACCTGACCCAACAGTGGCCGAGAATGCCCGTCTTTAACCGCATGCCTCTATTTCAGGTCAGGCATCCCTCCTCTTTCAGAGAACTCTGATCATCATCGGCATTGTCATCGCTCTCCTCGTCTTCGTGGCCATTTGCATTGCATCTTACGTGCTCGCTAAGTGAGTTTTCTAACACGTCGATGAGTCGTCTGCATGTGTCTGAAGCCTGCTCTAAAAATAACAATTAATCTTTGCAATGTTCATTTATACCTTCATTCATTATTTTCGAGATGAGAATTCAAAAAAAAAAAATTCATGTTGTGAATACAATCACGCCAAAAAAAAAAAAAAAAGAAAAAAAAAAAAAAAGAATTCATTTAATTTAAAAAAACGTATTTTTTAAAACATTATTTGCATTATTAAAATGTTTATTTTCTTTTTTACCGTTGAAACTAAAAATAATCAATACATTTTTTTAAAATTTAAATAACGAAAACGTTCGAAATTTAAATTGATACGTTAAAAAATGGAATTAATAATTTAAAAAATAGCGAGATCAGGTTATACAGCATTGTATGACAACAAAAATATTTTGCCATAACAATATTTTTTTTTAAATGTGTTGTTTTAGTCTGTTTTTTAAATAGATAAACTACAAAAAAATGGCATCTATTTCCATGTATTTATTATTCTTGGTGCACTGGTTAACATTTTCGTCTTGGATATCTCACGTCTGCTGTGGCGTAAGTCTCACGTCTGTGAGACTTACGTCCCAGCTAGGATGTGATACCCCAGTGGAAAAGTGAGACCTACCCCCAACCTTGACAGAAAGACTAGTGATAAAGTGAGACTTGAAATCTAGTTAGACTGCAAGACCAATTTTTCTTAAAAAAGTGACGCACATCTCATTTGTACTTTAAGACTAGTGATTAAGTGAGACTTAGACCTCACTTGTACTGTAAGACTTATGTTATAGTGAGACTTAAAACTCAGTTGTAAGACTTATAAAAAGTGAGACTTATACCCACATTGGCCTGTAAGACTAATTGCTGTAAGACTTACAAAAAGTGAGACCTACACCTCACGCGTGTACTGTAAAACTTATACAAAGTGAGCATTACACCCTGGTTGAACCTACGCTCTAGTTAAACCAGCAGACGTTGCCCCCCCCCCCCCCCACCCCGCTCCCACCCCCTACTCTAGCGAGCAGACAACATTAGCGCATCGCTCTCTCCCCGGGATTGTCAGCTCCCAGGGCCGCCACTATCAATATCTACTTTAATGCGGGACCAGCGACTCAGGCGGCGCCTAGCGGCATAGCTGAGCCACAGGGTACCATCGACTCGCGGCGATAGCATGTCAAGTTTGAACAAGCCCAGTGTAAATACCACGATAGCCGTCTGTTTACATAATGGCTTATCATACTTTCTTTTTATCAGTAATTTTTTTTTTACTTCTTTTGTTTTCTGCTTCAATTTTTTTCTCTCCTCTTGTATGCCTTCGTTATGATCCATCTCTCTCTCTCTCTCTCTCTCTCTCTCTCTCTCTGTCTCTCTCGGAGAGATACTCGTAGAGTCTTCAACCCAGTCTGAGTGCCCTACTCGTGGCCGTATCATCATTCACTTGAAGACACTTCACAGATAAAAGAAAAATAAATCTGTTTCTCTATCGTCCTAGACACCAGCAGTCTCTCTGTGCCTCACTTTCTCTTGCTGGGGGCTCTCGTTCAATCTATATCGTCGGCGACTCGATGTGGAGGAACAGCCCACACTCAACACTCCGGGATATATATATATATATATATATATATATATATATATATATATATATAGGAAGATAGTGAGAGAAATCTTTGGAATCTCCTCCTCCCCCACCCCAGATATAGTAGATTGGAGCAGCCAGTGTTCTTTTCCCTTTTTCTCCTCCAAAAAGTTTGTCGTTTTCTTCCTAGACGATGTTCCAACCACCCGACTCTCCCCGTGTCGTTATATTTCGATTAAAACTGGCACACAGATGCCCTCCCCTGGATGTTGTTCCACTACCAATGACGTCATCAAATGTATGACACCCCTGGGGTTTGTGTCCGGCTAACGACCTACCAATGGATGCCCATATTTCTTTTTTTTATTCCGGTTTTTTTAAATTGGTGTTAAAAAGTTCCGACTCCTTTAACCAATCGCACGCAACTCAAGTTTTCCACCCCACTCCCTCCCCCAACACCATGCGCTCCCATTCCCGTGTCTCCCATCTCTGGGTGTAATTCTATGCCGTCCAGTTCATTTGAACCCACTCTTACACAGTCTCTCTCTCTCTCTCTCTCACCCATGTTACCAGTAGCTGCATACTTGGGTTACCTCAGGGGCATCGTACTACCGGGGCATTAGGGCAGTTCAGTCAGGGCATGATGGGCAGTTTAGTCTGGGCATGAGGGGTAGTTCAGTCTGGGCATTAGGGGAAGTTCAGTCGGGAGATCTACCGTTTCCAACCCAGGTACCGAACTCTTAACCCTCAGGCCAGCAGGCGGGGGTTGCACCGTTAGACCCCAACACAAGCCAACAACATGCTCAGTTCTGCTCGAGCTTCAAAACATTGTTCTGGAGAAAGCCAGACATCTAGAAACTGTTGGTTACAATTGGCAGACGTCTAGAAACTGTTGGTTACAATTGTCAGACGTCTAGAAACTGTTGGTTACAATTGTCAGACGTCTAGAAAATGTTGGGACAGCGCCACCTTGTGACTGGTTTGACAAACAGCGCCACCTTGTGACTGGTTTGAGAACAACATCAGAGTTTCTTCCAGGCATCTCTTCGGGGGGGCGAAGCCCCCCCGAAAATTTTTTACCGCCCCCCCCCCCGAACGAAATGAAATTTATATAATTTATATAGAAAATATATACTTTTAACAGTGTCCGCCCCCCCCGAAGAAAGTCTGCCGCCCCCCGAAAATTTCAAGTGCCCCCCCCCGGAGAAAAAAGTCTGGAAGAAACACTGAACAACATCCTAGCCGTGATGTCTCACGCAGGTCAGAGGTCGCCCACCGCTGACAACATGCACATCATTGGCGTCACTAGGTCGGGTGTCACCCGGTGCTGACACCCCCCGTCCATGTCTTGTGACGCTTCTGGTCCACATTGTGCGTGTGGGGGGGGGGAGAGGTTAAAGCTTTATTTTTTTTAAATGCGACGTAGCATAAAAGACACTATTTTTATTTATTGAAAATTTAAATTTAGAAAAGTTTTTTTTTAATTTACGATAAAATTATGTTTACTCGACTGGTAAAGGGTAGAGCTTGGTGCCGTATTTGTACAAGATACAGTTGGGGATGGGACGGGGATGGACAATGATTGGTACAGAAAGTGTGACGACATGTATTGACCACTTTTAGCGTACATGACCCATGACAAGTGTACAAGCGTCTGACCCACTAGATGCTAAGCCTGCTCCAATGACATAGTCGTGATTAACTTTTCCATGTCACCAAGATGTTTTATTAATTTTGAAAAAAATTATTGATGTTTTCTTTAAAAAAAATCAAAACCACTCCGATAATATGTAGAGTAACAATTTATATCATCACTTTCATAGGAGGCAGCAACGGAAATACAACAAAAGCAGAACAGCCAATCCCAATCACACAGCCAACTCTCCCCCCACCGGAGGTAACTCGGTAGGAATCTTTTTTTTTTTTAAATTAATTAATTTTTTTTTATTTTTATTTTTTACAAAAGAGAAAAAAAATACTTTTCGTAAATTTTCTGGAAATTAATGATTATTTGCAGTGTGCTTATGTATGTATTTTTTTTTATAGGGACCAGAAAATGGAGGAGGAGTTATCGCCCGTGACAGTTCAGCACCGTCGATGACGGAACCAAAGTTGGGAAAAAGTGAAATGGCGTCACCGCCTACACATCCGTTTCCCGTCCCGCCCTTTATGAGAACGGGAAATAAACCAGCCGAAACGCGAAGAAGACTTTGTGCCTCTTCTCAGTATGACAATGTTCGCGATCTTGAAGCAATCCTTGATAACGATTCTTCAAATACCGCCAAGCCTTATGAAAAAATCCAAATGGCGCCGCTTAGGAGCGTTGGAGCGAGCCCCGAGCCAGCGGAAGTTCAACCGAGTCTGGGTACACCTGGGGAGAGTCCCAGCCCAGGCTTACCACGTGATCACCATCATCCAACCCCCTCACCATCAGCACCGCCCCCTGTCCCCACGATTCAGTATTCCACATCGCCATCATCTCCAGACAACGCCACTTCACGGCAAGCATTTTCAACTGCTGATCCGAACTCTATCCAAACGTTTCATCCGCTTGGCTCCAGAAGCGACAGAGACATTGCAAGACACTTAGCCTCCACCAGAAACAAGCATAAAACCAGCCACGATCCTTTAGAGAATGAAAACCTGTTAAAGAAAGCCAAACTAACAAGCTCCAACACATTTCCAACCTCCAAAGTTAACAGCGTACCTTTACTAGACTCAGATAGTGATGAAGACGTCCGGGACATTCACTACGACCTTCACATCACAGAAGAAGACCTTGACCTCTCCAAAGGGAGTTCCTACAACAGTTCCAGCAGCAGCATGAGGTCGCCCACAGGTCAGCAAGAATCTCTTGGGCTCCTGGCGTCCACACATTCATCCCGGCCCGGGGTAAGGAAGCACCAGAGTGAAGACAGCCCGTCTTACAACACGCCAACAAACAGAAGGTACGGGCTTCAGCAGGAGGACAATGCTCGGAGCTACTCCCTGGATGAACCAGCCACAAAACCCGCCGCCCCACCCTCTAAGCACATGAACAGTACACTGCTCGGCTCCCCAGAGTCTGAGTACCCCCACGCTGCCCCAGGACCATGCCAGCATTACAACCACAATGAATACGACCCCACCGATGACGAGGTGCCGTGGGATGCAAACAGTTCAAAGGTCACAAACGACGAGCACTACAAGCTTAAAGATGTAGCCCCTAATCAACGACCCATTCCCATCTAGATGTTTGCTTAACAGAATGACAGGGCTGTTTTGTGGTGATTTGTATAGAGCTTTACTAGAGGGGAGGCTAATAAACGAATATCTTGATAGAAGAATACATAGCACACAAATTTAAAAATACATAGATAAAATTGAGGCCAAAGTTCAAATTGCTCAAAAATATTTCATTTTCTATATTCTTTTATCCCTGTTACCACTCCAAATGCAATTTTTTTTAAATTGATGGTATTTCAGGGAAAATAAGTTTGTTCAGGCTATTTCAAAAACAAAAGTGCTAATAATTAAATTATTAGGCAGAGTCTAATATTTGTTACTTGTTATATATAGAGCTTTAACTTTCTCTAAAGTGGTTCATTACTTTATTTTTTAAAAATAATTTTACTTTGATAAAAGTAATGGGGAAGACAGCATTACAATTAGGAAATAAGTATTTAAAACTTGTGATGAGAGTAACTAAATAGGTGGTAGTGATCATTCATGGCTAGGAAACTCACAAAAATGGATATATAAAATTTATTTTTTCTTGCTTGTAAAATAGAACCTTAACTTATAACTCAAAAGACCCACCCAGTGAGTATCTTCTCAAAATAGCTAAACTCCAACATTACTCCTTCACATAACGGTATACAAAAAGTATATTTTCACTACAACATAATATATAGTTACTGTTTTTTTTTCTAGTAGTAAAAAGTTATATTTTATTAGCAGTAAATTACAAAAATACCACAATGAACATAAACTTTTTAAAAATATGTAACAATCAGCCATACTTGTTTTCTGGTATTGTTATAAATTGTCTTTTAATAAAAATCCTTGAATGTGATAAGTTGCACCTGCTAAAGCTTTGATAATAAATTTATTAATGAACAATGTAAAATAAATTTTAATATTCATACTTTTTTTTAAATTTGAAAATATTGTAATGGTCGGCAGTTTAAAAAAAAAAATTATGGGCATTGGTAACAATTTATAAAAAAAATTATTACTATCTTTTTTTATATATTGGACTTAAAAATATACAAAATATTAAATCATTATTCATCGTTATTTAGTCAGTCACTGTAAAGATTACGATGCCACATTGACTGTGAGATACTATGGACTGAGCTATACTGATGATAAACGAGAAGGTAAAAACGCCATGGTAGATTAAAGAATGTTTAAAAATCTGTTTTAAGTTAAATTTAAAATATCTTATGTTTTTGAAGAAACAGTTACACAGAAATACTGTTTTGTATACAACATTATTGTCTACTAGTGGAATCTTATTTTATAAATGTTTTTAATTTCAATACTAATACAGTTTGTAAAAAATATGTTTTGAAGCCTTTTTATGCACCAAAATAGTATGGTACATTTTACCAAATTCTCTTAAAGAAAATGGTGTCAATTAAATCTCTTCCTTCAAGGCTTTCATTAGCATAGAAAAGTCCACAAATCCCATACAAAAAAATCATTACTAATATCATTTGTACATTTTAATTTTTGACTAATTTTTAATGTTATGTAGTGGTTTATTTAATTTTATTTGATGTTGTGAATTCTACACTTATAAAATATTTTATATTCATCTATAAATGAAACTTCATTGCTGTAATAATTTTCTCCATGCTGGAGTGATTATAAAGTATGAAAACACTGCCCAGTTTATAAATATATATGCTTTAATAAACACACTGTCCTAGTGTTAATAACTGCCATTTTCATGTTTTAACACAATTAATTTTTTAACTTAAATTAATAGGTGTTTGTTTAAATCTTTGTAGTTTTTAATTATCAAAACCAATTAGTTTACAACAGTTTTTTTATGAATTATTTTAAAATAAATATGATTTTAGTAGCTTTATTGTTAAAACAATTCAGTGGCAAGAAGATTTGCATTTTAAATTAGATGGATTAAGAAGATAAAATATGTTTGGATACTTAAATTATATTCATTTTAGCTTACAGCCAAATGTTGAAATGAATCAATTATTTTTCTCAAAGTTTTAGTTGGGTCAGCCTAAAATCTTTATTTTACTGTCTTTGGTTGCTTAAGCTGTTAGTAATTAATATTTTCTGGGGGCATTTTTTGCCAGCTGAAATTGTTTCTTTTATATTTTTTTTTTACTTTTTAAAATCAATATTCTAATAATGTTGATACTCGATGTACATAATTAACAAATAATCTATTATTTATAAAAAAAATGTTAATTTATTTTCAGACAAAAACCATTGAATTCTTGTTTCATGTTACATTTTGTAAAAACATCATTCAACATGGTTAAAGATTTACATTCCAATTTCATTGACATGTTTTTTTTAGTTTTGTTCTGTTTTGTAATTATGTGCAAAGTTTTGTTGACTTTGTGCCTGGTTTGGTTGTTTTGTGTTAAGTTTGGCATAATATATTGCTGGGGTTTTTATTTCTGCTCATTTTTAAAGATTTTATTTGTTATAAATATTTTGTTGCCATAATTTCCAAAGTAGAATTTTAGAGTGTCTTTTAAAAATTCTAAACCAAGTTTATAAATTATGTTTTACTTAGTATTACTATTTCCGATAACTAAGTTTTTTAGCATAAATCCTTTTTTACCTTTCTTGAGTCCTGAAGAAAAAAAAATAGTTACATTTATTACTGACTAAATTCATCAACGTTCAGCACTTGCCAATATTTCATTGTTTTTTAGTATTTCAATTAAAATTTCAGTTTAATTTAAATTTGAATATTTGGTTGACATGGACACACTGGTATTTATCTGGCAACAATTGTCCTGTACTACATATATTTATTCATACAAAACAAACTTTGTAAATAACCTATGTAAAATTTAAATATTGCAAATTGTACTTGAATTTGAAGTATGATTGTGGGTTTCTGTAATGAATAATTTATTGACAATTTGAATGAACAGAGAATGTTTTGTCGATTTTTTGCGTTGTGTTTATACGAGAAAGTGTTTCAATAAAGAATACGTTGAAATTAAATTTTAATCATGAAAATAAAGAGCTTATATAAGATCACAAGTCTGCAAATCAGAATTATTTTGAAACTATTTTGTCTTTTATTGTTTGTGTTTGGAGGTTTGTTAATGGGCTTTACGAAAATAATATTATAGCTGGGTATTAGAAAGCGGTTTTCTTCTACAGAAATTTTACCATCTACGAAATATATACAGCACCTCAGAACAATGTTCTCTGACAAAATGATTTAAGATAAGCATAATGATAGGCCTTGCTAGGTCTTTCACAGACCTTTTAACATCTAAGCTTAAATTAGCCCTTGATCCAATGCTCCTCCGGGGGTTTCAGGTGCCCCCCCCCCCCCCCCTAGAAAAAAATTGTCTTTAGGAAACCTTGCTGACAACTACTTCAGTGTGGCAGAACAACGCTCTTCAATGCTGGAACCATTTTTTTTTTTTTTTTTAGTTTTCCTGAATAATAAAATTTCCTTGACGGAACTTACCGAAAAAAAAAATAACGAGCACACGTTTGAACCGGTAACATTTGGTGAATGTGTTACCATTTTCAAACCCGCTGCCCATCCACCCCTCACAGTTCATCACACACTTTCCTTTCGTCCTTTTGATATGCGTTTACATTTTTGGAAACGTCTTCCCCTTTGCAGACATACCCTTACTTTCACAGTAGGGGCGAGTAGGACAAAACGTCATAGTTATTTCTCTTTTCAAAATCTTTTAAGTATGTTTTTTTTTATTTTATTTTTTAAGAGAACAAAAGAGTAGGAATTATCAGACCAACATTGTTAAGAATACTCCTCGTTACAAGCTAGACTCGTTATTTTATTTTTTAAATAATTCCTACATTTTTGCAATTTTTTATCGAAATACTTGAAGTATTCACTCACCCACGGCACTTATTTCTTAAGTAATACAAGCTGTTTAGTTTTTACCTATATAAAATTCTACAAAAATTATTTCTTTTTTTTGTCCCTTATCTACAAGCCTATTTTTATTTAGATAACATTCATATTCCGTGTGTAAATAGACACTTTAAAAAAAAATGTAATTCTTTTCGTTACAAAAATTTGTCAACAAGAATTTCGGCTGACGAATAAATTCAGCATGTGGCACCAAAGGGGGCTGTAAAAAATCATGGTCACGCTGATCTTATCTTTTCGCGTACAGTTGCCTTGATAACGTTTGGATGCCATAGATTACATTAGATATTCGCATTTTAGCAGCGAGCTGGCTCTGATACTGGAGATGGTGGGGGGTTGATTACACAATCTGATTTACAGGGGTAGTGTTTCAAAAATAAAAGGGAGAGTTTAACGTGAATACAGAATATATTCAAATAGGTTTAATGTTCATTCTTTGATGTTGATATACATGGTATTTTTCAGAAGTAGAAATGTGTAGCCCATTGCTATAGACTAGCGTAACGGACGAAACACGTTGTATTTTCTCACTAATTTCAATCAAAAAGTCTAAAACATTTTTTAACGTGAATACAGAATATATTAAAACAATAAGTTTAATGTTCATTATTTGATGTTAATATTCATCGTATTTTTCAGATGTAGTAATATGTAGCCTAGCGTAACCAAAGTTTCTTCCGTGCATCTCTTCGAAGAAAGTTTACCGCCCCCCTCCCCCCCCCCCCCCCCCGAACGAAATGGAAATTATATAGAAAACATACTTTTACCGGTGTCCCGTCCCCCGAAAAAAAATAAAGTGCCCACCCCCCCGGAAAAAAGTCTGGAAGAAACACTGAGCGTAAACCCGTTATATTTTCTTACCAATTTCAAACAACAAGTATAAATCATTTTTAAGACCTAACATTTAAAATTATATTTCCGGTAATCATATATTTAAATTAAAACAATTTATATTGGTTTTATTCTTTTTACTTATAATAGCTAAATTTTGTTTAATTAAGTTGCAAGTTTTTACATATTCATTAATCACATTCCTATTCATAAAAACATATATATCTATATGTATATCTCTGCCTACATTAAGTAATCAGTTACTATAATTTCCAATGAACCTCAGCGGTAGTATTCTCGTATGTTCCGGTCAGTATTTTTTAATGCGTGTGCGTTGTTGTTAAAATGAATAGTTACAAAACTTTATTGAGTGTTTTTTTTTTTGTCGGACTTTACAACATATTGTTCTGGTACTTTCGGTAACTAAAGAATTTTTTTTTAAATCAAGAACGATTTGGGTTTTTTTTTCTTAATTTTCTTACCAAAGATTAAGATAAACATGGCATAGTGCTAGTCGATATGGTTCAAAAAAGAAGAATTTTATTTTAAAATTTTATCGTTAAAGCTTTGAGTAAAAGTTACTACAATGTAGGGTTATCAGAAGATCGATAACTGAGTGTTCTGTACAATTCAATCAATGTTTGTCTTACTAAAGAAAAGAAAAATAAAAACAGAGTTTTACGTAAAGAAATACTTTTAAAGTTCTCTGCTATTGCAACTTTTGTAACATTGATTTTTAATCTTAGAATCTCAAATCTCTTATATCTTTTCAGGCTTAGGGGTCATCCATAAATGACGTTACGCTTTTTTGCGACGTCACATTTTTGCATTATTAAAAAGCAATGTTAGAAAACGAATTTTAGACGTTATTTCGCGTTTTAGATAACTGTTTTAATAAATTGTAATAGTTTAGACAAGATTTTAGAAAAATATCGATGTTTAAAAAAAATTCAACTGCAATTTTGAGGGGGGTTGTAGGTTGAGGTGTGACGTCATTTTAGGGGGGGTCTGGCTTTTTGTGACGACGTGTGACGGAGGGGAGGGGGGGGGGGGGAGGTATAAATCTTCAAAAAAGCGTGACGTCATTTATGGATGACCCCTTATAATACACAAATCCATGTTTTGTCAGTTTACGTTTTCACGTAAAATATAGATATTGACACAGCTCTATAGTTTCAAACGGATTAACGTTTATCTTGCGTGTTGGTGATTTAAGTGATTTAAATGTTTCGCATTATTAAAGTAAATGTTCGTGTGTTGCGTGATATTTATTAGGCTTGAAAAGTCTATGGAATCATAATATTTTTTTTTTAACTTTAAAAAAATATGGCAAGCGATAATATTATAGTAACATTTTTAAAAAATTGAACCATCTTGGGAACACTCATTTTATATTTTTGTATTGAATATAGGCCATTGAAAATAATTTTAAAATTAGTTTAGCTATTCAAATATTTTTTTTTAAAACTACCCCAGCCCCCCCCCCCCCCCCCTTTAAAATCAACCGGATTGGCCAGGGAAAGTAAAACAATGAAAAGCACAGCAATTGTTTTCCAAGATAAAATACACAATAGCGGGAATGGGTTATAGCCTAGTAGTTTATTTGTATTAAATTATATAACACCCTGACTCTATTAATCCAAATTAATAATATAAGTATTAGCTACATTACTATTATATTGCTAGTAATTATTTGTTTGAATATTTCTAGCCTTTGTAAAACCGGGAGTCATTTTGTTCTTATTTCTCTAATGTTATAAAATAATCAATTTTTGGTTGAAAAAAAAAAAAAAGCTTTCTGGCAACAATTATTTGGAATCAGCTTTTTAAGCCTATTGTCTGACTCTTTCGCTCTAAAACAGCTCCTATTGCTTTGCAACCAGACCACTAAGCGACTTGAAACATTTACCAATCGATTTCTGCCATGATTTAGAACAATATTGCCGAAGAAAGTTTTCAAAAATATCCTTTCGTTCGGTCACAAAAAATTAATTAAGGACATTTTATTAACTTGTTTTTAATGGTGGACTTGGGATAAAATGAGATAAACAAACAAAATAAAAAAATGTCCGTGAATCTGATAGGACTTTGATTGAGTTCAATCGTCTACTTCGCCTAGCAGTCACCAACCTTGTTTTTCAGTTTCCCCCAGTATGGAACTTAATTTAATAATAAGATACAGTGTTTGGCAAAACATTCAGAGTTACACTTTGTTAATGATTTTTGTGAAAAGTATGAGTGAAGGAGGATAGTAAGGTGAAATGTCTATATCTCCAGTTTTATGCACGACTGAAGTGTATTCTGTTGTTGGTTTTTTAGCTTCTGATTAAAGATGTGCAATCTCGATATTTTTTAAGCGTCTGATAATTTTTTTTTTACTGCTGTTGATGTTTTTAGCTTCTGAGGAAAGTTGTGTTATCTTGATTTAACTTAGTCGAAAGATTTGAAATCTTGATGTATTGGCTGTTATGTAAAAACAGGGGCGGATCTAGGTGCATATAGCGGGGCTTCCCCCCCCCCCCACCCACCACACACATATACTCCCCACCTCCCCCCTGTCTGATTCTGAGGAAGTGTTTATATATAAACATATATATACATATATATATATATATATATATATATATATATATATATATATATATATATATATATATATACATATATATATATGTATATATATATATGTATGTATATATATATATATGTATGTATATATATATATATACATATATATATATACATATATATTCATATACATACATATATCTATGTATATATACATGTATATGCATTATATATATATATATATATATATATATATATATATATATATATATATATATATATATATATATATATATATATATATATATATATATACATTTATACATATCTAATATGTGTGTGAGGGAGGTGGGTGGGGGGTGCGCGTGTGTGTGCGTGTGTGTTAGGCCTATCACTAAAAAAAACGACTAAAATCTAGATCCACCGCTGCACCTAATTTGCGATCATTATGTTTAAACTGCTGATGAATAATTTATTATGTTGGCGTTGATTGTAATTAAGTCGTTCTAATTGGTTAAATTTGCTTTTACTAGATGTTGCACAACTGTTGATTGCCTCAATTTCTCGCATCCCCCCTCCTCCCCCCCCCCACCACCCCCCGGGCCACCTACCGCCCCCGTTGTTTTACCTTGCATCCCAACGTCCATGACATAGCTCGCTAAACGCCACGCAATATCCATCAACCTAACTTTTCAATTAGTTGCAGTTTGTCTTTTTTT